GTGTTCGTTGTTGTTTCGTTGCGCTGTTCGTCTTGTAACGTTTTTCGTTGTTCGTTCTGAGTGCCAACGGGTTTCCAATATCGTTGTCCTCCGTCGCCGTGTTCTTCATGTTCGCTGTATGACTTTGCACCAAACGCCCTCTCTGTCTGAAGGCCGCCGAAGGGAACCCCAGAGGCCCACGAGGCCACGCCAGGACTGCACGAGAAAGCGCCGAAACGGCCTCGTAGGCCCCTGATGGGGTGCCTTGGCATCGCTCGGACGTGTGCGTTGTTCTCGGCGGGGGCCATCGAGCAGCACCTTAGCACGGTCCGAGCGATGGCCCAGCGTGGCATTTTTCCCCCGAGGGCGGGCCAGCCCCCCCGTCGGCGCGGACTGCGCGATCCGGCTGCCGGCCCTCCCAAGGGCCCCGGCCAGGCCAGGCAGGAGTGCTCCATATTTGTTCTGTCGATGTTTCCCGACAACCCCCCCACTGGGAACGGAGGGCAAATTGGGGTCTTCAGGTTGGGTTGGGGCGGTCTGGTGGGTAGTCAACAAGGGGAGGGGGGTCCAGACATACGTCCCCCCACGGCCACTTCTCGGGGAAATCCGCTCTAGCTCTATCACACCCCCCCAACGGAGGAAATCGTCAGATCAATTTCGGACCTTGCCCCACCCGCTTTGGCCAACATGTGTCGGGAGTCTGTGGTGACAATTGTTTAAATCACCCGCCCCTTCGCGAACCGCCGCGCGCTCGGGAAATGTGCCCGAGTCGACCGGCCGTGTCATTATTCCATGGCCATGGACCCACCCGTGCAAGGCTCGTGTCAGGAGCGGGAAACAAAACACGCAACACGGCACATGTGCTCGTCGGACTTGCCGCACTGTTGCGCGTAGCCCTGTACAGGGTCATGTATGAACTGTAGAAGCAACTCGTGCGAGTTGGAACTCGGCGAGATTATTCTGGACAGCTCCGTTGTCAATTCTCTCTTCGGTCGACCACGGTTGCGTGTGAGCGCGGCCGTGGCAGAGAGAACAGTGTGAGGCTGGAAAGTGGCTTGTCAAGAAACTCTTGGCTCGATGGCCTACCCATTTTGTCCATGCAGCGCGAGCTGTTGTCGCGGAAGCTGGGTTTGTAAGAGTCTTGCCGAGCTTCCTACAGCTCGTCCCGCGCGCGACACGAATGACAAAAACATGGACCCACCCCGGGCAAGAGGCGTTTCGGGAAGTGTCGATTGGGGTACGTAATTGAGAAAAACACCCTTGTTAACCGACTTCCCTGGGGAAAGGTTCTATCGTACATTCTCGGAGGGTTGATTCATACATTGACGCTTTCTTGGGGGCGACGTTTGTGGGGAACAGGGGTGGTTCTGAATGAAGGATGCCTCTCTTATCACTGGCGCCAAGATGGCCCTGAGAGGCCCCAAGAGTTGCCCGAGAAGCCCCCAGAGACTCCCAAGAGGTTTCCAGAGACCTCCCATGAGGCCGCCAAGAGGCATCGCGAGAGCCCCTGCAGTCGAATATTCCAAGTGTACCTTGCGTGTGCTATGTTCTGTCTGCGCTCTCGCACTTCAGGCGCTCCGACCGCCTGGGGCGGCCCGCAGGACCTCTCGGGTCGCCCCGAGACAGCCACAGAGGCCCCGAAGAAAGCCCCAGAGGCCGCCAAGAGGCCCCCCCAACCCTTCCCAGTAATCGAAGCAGGATCGGGCCGGACGAAAGGGGGGGATTGGGAAAGGGGGGGTTACGAAATTTGCTGCATGCAGCTGGTTTCGGCCTCACCGAGGGGCCCATTCCTCGATACATAGCCGCCTCCGGCGCCGGGAGGCGCCGGGAAAATCAGCTACGTGAGCTGATTCTCAAACCCCCCCTTTGCTATCCCCCCCTTTCGCCCGACCCGACAGGAGCGGACCAGCCCCCACCCACGAGGCACCTAAGAGACGCCCCGCACCTTGGCCCCCAGCACGGCAGTCGGGTGAAAGCGCAACAGGAATAATGGGAGCACGGAGGACAAGGAATGCAGATTCGCACGGCAGATCAGTTGGCACGAAGAGCAGCATTGCAGACAAATCAAACAGATCAGCCAGCTTGAACCCCAGACCGTGATCTCTTGCGATAGGTGCGGTGCAATTCAGGTGTTCCAACCACTGTGGTTCAAACCTGGCGGTGCAAAGCAGTGCAGAGCAGTGCAGAGCAGAGCAGCGCAATAGCAAGGCAATGTCATGCAATGCCATGCCATGCAATGCCATGCCATGCAATGCAATGCAATGCAAAGCAGTGCAGAGCAGTGCAAAGCAGCGCAAAGCAACGCGGACACCCGGGGCGACGGGCCGGCCAGACCAGCACGGGGGCCCCGCGGCGGCGGCGCAGACGGGCGGCGACGAGCCAGCTGGACCGGCGCCATGGGCAGAGCGGCGGCGGGCGGCGACGAGCTGGCCGCACGACGCTGCGGGCTCAGTTGCTCACCGCCCACCAAACCACCCCAACCCAACCCGAAGGCCCCGATTTGCCTTCTATTTCCAGTGGGGGGGAGTGTCGGGGAACATGGGGAAAACACACATGTGAAGCTCGTATCCCCCCCCCCCACACCCGAAATTCGGGTCGTCGGGTCGGGTTGGGGTGGTCTGGTAGGCAGTCAGTTGCTTCCGAGCACGAGCAAGAGCCCTGAAGTGCGAGCACCTGTCTGGGGAACACGGAGCGCGACAGACCAGCACGGCAACACGTCTTTTTTACGCTTATAATTAGTTGGCTGGGCGAGAAAAGGGGAAGTTGTGCGACGTGGGTCGGGGAGAGGAGTAAGCCCCGCACCGGCAGGGACGGAGTGGGTGGGAAGAACAGGCACTCCCAACCACATCCGCCAAGGCAGAGGGTCGGCGGGCTGTTTAGGCGCTTCAGAGGAGGAAGAGGAGGAGGAGGACGAGGAAACTGAGGAGGACGGCGAAAAAAAGGCGGTGGCGAGGGCGAAGAGGGTCGTAGAGCCTCCTGAGACCCCCTGGGATTCCCTGGAGCCTGCCTGGCGCCTCCAGGAGGCGTCGAGGCGACGGCCACGACCACGACCACGACCGACGAGTGACGATGGCGGCCTCCCGAGACCCCCTGGGATTCCCTGGAGCCTGCCTGGCGCCTCCAGGAGGAGTCGAGGCGACGGCCACGACCACGACCGACGACCGACGAACGGCGATGGCGGCCTCCCGAGACCCCCTGGGATTCCCTGGAGCCTGCCTGGCGCCTCCAGGAGGAGTCGAGGCGACGGCCACGACCACGACCGACCACCGACGAACGGCGATGGCGGCCTCCTGAGACCCCCTGGGATTCCCTGGAGCCTGCCTGGCGCCTCCAGGAGGCGTCGAGGCGACGGCCACGACCACGACCGACGACCGACGAACGGCGATGGCGGCCTCCCGAGACCCCCTGGGATTCCCTGGAGCCTGCCTGGCGCCTCCAGGAGGCGTCGAGGCGACGGCCACGACCACGACCGACGACCGACGAACGGCGATGGCGGCCTCCCGAGACCCCCTGGGATTCCCTGGAGCCTGCCTGGCGCCTCCAGGAGGAGTCGAGGCGACGGCCACGACCACGACCGACGACCGACGAACGGCGATGGCGGCCTCCCCCCTGGGATTCCCTGGAGCCTGCCTGGCGCCTCCAGGAGGAGTCGAGGCGACGGCCACGACCACGACCGACGACCGACGAACGGCGATGGCGGCCTCCCGAGACCCCCTGGGATTCCCTGGAGCCTGCCTGGCGCCTCCAGGAGGAGTCGCCCTGGAGCCTGCCTGGCGCCTCCAGGAGGCGTCGAGGCGACGGCCACGACCACGACCGACGACCGACGAACGGCGATGGCGGCCTCCCGAGACCCCCTGGGATTCCCTGGAGCCTGCCTGGCGCCTCCAGGAGGAGTCGAGGCGACGGCCACGACCACGACCACGACCGACGAACGACCATGGCGGCCTCCCGAGACCCCCTGGGATTCCCTGGAGCCTGCCTGGCGCCTCCAGGAGGCGTCGAGGCGACTGGCCACGACCACGACCGACACGAACGGCGATGGCGGCCTCCCGAGACCCCCTGGGATTCCCTGGAGCCTGCCTGGCGCCTCCAGGAGGAGTCGAGGCGACGGCCACGACCACGACCGACGACGACGAACGGCGATGGCGGCCTCCTGAGAGACCCCCTGGGAGTCCCTGGAGCCTGCCTGGCGCCTCCAGGAGAAGTCGAGGCGACGGCCACGACCACGACCACGACCGACGAACGACCATGGCGGCCTCCCGAGACCCCCTGGGAGTCCCTGGAGCCTGCCTGGCGCCTCCAGGAGGAGTCGAGGCGACGGCCACGACCACGACCGACCACCGACGAGCGACCATGAGCGAGATGGGATCCCTGGAGCCTGGCGAGGCGCCTGAGCGAGGCGACGGCCACGACCACGACCACGACCGACGAACGACCATGGCGGCCTCCCGAGACCCCCTGGGATTCCCTGGAGCCTGCCTGGCGCCTCCAGGAGGCGTCGAGGCGACGGCCACGACCACGACCGACGGCCGACGAGCGACCATGGCGGCCTCCCGAGACCCCCTGGGATTCCCTGGAGCCTGCCTGGCGCCTCCAGGAGGCGTCGAGGCGACGGCCACGACCACGACCGACGGCCGACGAGCGACGATGGCGGCCTCCCGAGACCCCCTGGGGTTCCCTGGAGCCTGCCTGGCGCCTCCAGGAGTCGTCGAGGCGACGGCCACGACCACGACCGACGGCCGACGAGCGACCATGGCGGCCTCCCGAGACCCCCTGGGATTCCTTGGAGCCTGCCTGGCGCCTCCAGGAGGCGTCGAGGCGACGGCCACGACCACGACCGACGGCCGACAAGCGACGATGGCGGCCTCCCGAGACCCCCTGGGATTCCCTGGAGCCTGCCTGGCGCCTCCAGGAGGAGTCGAGGCGACGGCCACGGCCACGACCGACGACCGACGAGCGGCGATGGCGGCGGCGGCGACGACGAGCTGGCGGGCAGCACCTCCCGCGGCGGCCGCGCGCAGGAGCTCTCCAAGCTCACGGGTGGCGGCAAGGCCGCGGCGGGCCCGCCAGGGCGGCTCTCGGCCGGAAGCCAGCTGGTGCGGCAGTCGCTGCCGTCGTCTGCTGTCTTCGTCGTCGTCGGAGATCGGAGAATAAACACATCAACGTTCGTCGCCGTCGTCGCCGATGTCGTCGCCTCCGTCGTCGTTACCTTCGTCGTCGCTGCCTTCGTCGTCGTCGCCTTCGCCGTTGTCGTCGTCGCCTTCGTCGCCGTCGGAGATCGTAAATCAACATAGAAACGCTCGTAGGTCTGCGCGGATTCCGTGGATCGGCGCTGGAGGTCGGCGCCGGAGCCCTCTGGCGGCGCCTTGCGTTCCGAGCCGCGCGGACCTCCGAAAGGTGCTGCTCATGTCATTGCTCGCCCTTTTCGGGGAATCACGGCAAGGGCAGAGGAGGGGCGAGGAGGAGGAGGAGGAGGAGGAGGAGGAGGAGGAGGAGAAGGGGCGAGGAGGGGCGAGGAGGAGGAGGAGGAGGAGGAGGAGGAGGAGGGGCGAGGAGGAGGAGGAGGAGGAGGAGGAGGAGGAGGAGGAGGAGGAGGAGGAGTGGGCGTAGGGTGGGTGAAGTTGGGGCGACTGTTGTTTGCGCGGATTGCGGGGCGTACGAGAGGCGACGAGTCCACCTGCTACCGCTGCGGTGCCAACGAACCCCGGAGAGGTGTGCGACCTCCCGGGCCCTTGAGCTCCGCAGGATTCAGGAGGGGAAGACCAACAAACCAGGTGCTCAGGGAAGGTCGACGACGGCCCTACTGGACTCGGCAGTCGTGCTAGACATACTACCTTCAGCGCATAGACTTGGTGGCCGGACACGCGCACGCCTGCCAGGGAGCCTCGGACCGACCGACATTGGGGACTCTCATCTTCCTGTCGGCTAATCGTCTTTGGGGGGTTTCCCTCTGGGCCTCCCAACTGGATCGAAGTAGATGGGGTCGGAGGATCGCGCCGCATCGTCGATGCGGCGTGATCTGGAGCCCGATTCCATCGACGCCGACGGCGCCGATGCACCGCCGCCGTCGTTAATGCATCACCGATGCATCGGCGATGCGGCGCGGTCCTCTGACCACATCTGCGCCCCCAGTTCGGAGGCCTCGACATGGGGGCTCTCAGGTTGGTCCAAGAGATTCGGGCCTGGCGAAAGGGGGGGATTGGGAAAGGGGGGGTTACGAAATTTGCTGCATGCAGCTGGTTTCGGCCTCACCGAGGGGCCCATTCCTCGATACATGGCCGCCTCCGGCGCCGGGAGGCGCCGGGAAAATCAGCTACGTGATCTGATTCTCAAACCCCCCCTTTGCAATCCCCCCCTTTCGCCCGACCCGAGAGATCCGCGCGGATCTCCCAAAGTCAGCGTGTGTGCAGTTGGTGCCGAGTCAGGGCTACTCTTCGGCCCACGGGCCGAGGAGCAGACAGCACGGCAAGCATGCTCCAGGCCGCAAGGGCTCCCACGAGGGCGCGAAGTTATTCGCGCTTCGCGGTCCTCGTTCCTTCTCCCCCCTCCTCCTCGTCCTCCTTTTCTCCCTTTGGGGGGGCGGCGCGAGGGCGCGAAGTTATTCGCGCTTCGCGCTTCGCGGAGCGCGAAGCGCGAAGTTGGGAGCCCCAGAGGCCGAAGGCTGCAAGGGTCCTTTGCTTCAGATGCCCCTCATTACAAGTCCAGCCTTGATCGTGCACACCACGCCTTCCAGACTCGTTCCCCAAGTGTTCGTTCCCCCTCCCGGGCGGGGTGTCGTTGGGTGGCCCGAGCCTGACGGGGCCGGTACGAGAATAAATCCGTTCCAGAACTTTCCCGAACGCTCTCAGAGCGTTCTGGAACGCTCTGAGAAGGCCGCGGCGCCCGAGACATCCTGTAGAGCCGCGGATCTCAGAGCCTCTCAATGAATCCTCACCCGAATTGATTCGGAGCACTGCGCGGCATGGAGACGCAGAGTTTTGATCAGAGTTTTCCTGGAGAATTCTGCGTCGACTTCCACGAGGAGGTGGTGAGAGTACCGGTGAAGCCTGGCTGAGCGAAGACAGAGATGCGCATCTTGAGCAAGAATCTTCAATCTCTTCAGACATATTCTCGTGACAAATAGAGTTATGAGCAGAAGTTAGCCGCAATACATGGGATGTTTTACTCTTGAGTGAGACCTGGCGCGAGAGCAAGGGAAAAGATAGCTGTTGGAGGACGGATGCATGTTCTGTGGTTCTGGTGGGACAAATGGCGGGCGAGGCACTGCAATTATTTTCCACCATCGCTGAACTGCGGGATTCCATGCTTTTCACGCGATCAGCGAACGACTGTGCGCACTGGACGCCACTGTCGGGAACTGGTTCCAGATCACGGCTGGTATCGATCTACATGCCACGTGGCGGCGATGGCGACGCAGACGTCGACGAAGTACACGATCACATCGAACATTTGTTTTGTATCGCTCGTGCTTTGAGCCGGGCGTGCACCCATGGCGGTGACTGGAATGCGACCGTCGGGACCAGACAATTCAGCGTTGACGCTGACGTGGTTGGTCCGTACGGCATTGGTCACCAGAGCGTTCGTGGAGAGATGTTGGTAAAATGGGCGGCCAGTCATAGCTTAGTGCTTGCAAATACGATCATAGAGAAGACCTTCGAGAAATAATGGGCCCACCAAAATGGCGCAAGCAAGCGCCAATTCGACGACTTCGCTATCGGAGCGGACAATGCTCGGTGGACTACCGACGCAGAGGCCTGTGAACATATAGGCGTCGGCGTGGACCACCATACGATCCAGCTGACTCTGGCCCTCCATCGGGCCAGAAGGAAAGCGAGGAGAAGCCAAGTATGTCGTGGTTTCCGCGGGTGGAAGCCGCATGGCCATGCACAGTATTGGGGTGAACTCGACGAGCAGCTCCGTATGTCTGGGGGCAGCGAGGGTCCAGACAGGCATCCAGATTTGGAGGACAGATGCCGGGCTTTCGAAGATGCATTGCCTGACGTCGCGGAGCAGTGACGGCATGCGGAAGAGGAGATTGCTGCCACCGCGAAGGCCTCGCAGCAGCACCTCCACGATTTCATAGACCTGAGAAGACAAGTTTGCAAGGCAGGGGCGAAGGACATCGTTCGGGACAGCAGTAACTTGATTAGAAAAAGGAACGAGCACTCGCAGCTGCACAGGGAAGTGCACTGACAACCAGGGTCTTGGCAAAGTTCGAAGATCGACAGCGGCTTGTAGACATCCGGAATAACGACAAAAAGGATTGCATGATCTCCGTAGTCGACAAGGACGGGGCCGAGAGAACGGACATGCATGATATCGCTCTTGTTTTACCCAGTTGTTAGCAATCTCTGTAAATCGGCGCTGCAGGTATTTACTCGCGTGGCGATGATGCTACGCCAATGCCAGACGGCACGCCCGACGACGTCCGTTCTCAGTTGAAACGCGCCGCGGCCTGGCAAGGCGTCAGATGAGGGAGGCATCGTCGTGGATATGCTTCGCCATTGGAATCGCGTTCTTTTTGGCGAGGATTGCTGGCATTTTCATCGCGCCGTCATGGAGCCAGGGGCATTACCCCGAATGCTGGAAGGCATCTTCGATAAGGGTTCTCTTCCGAAGGGGCGACTCAAGACTTGCAGAGAACTATCGGCCGATATGCATCATCCCAATATTGTACAAATTGTTCAGTCGTGTTTTGTGCGGGCGTATTTGGGGAATATTCACTGTGGAGCAGTCGCTTCTGGGGTTCTGGAGCGGCTTCTCCTACGATCAAGCGGGGGTCCGGAGTGACTTTTCCTGCGACGACCACCCCTTCGCGCTTGCCCTCGTTGCAGAGAAACGCAACAAGTAGAATCTCCCACTTGGGTGGCCACGCTGGACTTTAAGAACGCATGTGACTCCATCGCCCACAGCAGCATCTGGCATGTATTACTCACGCACGGCGCTGCGCCTGTACATGTGGACGTTCTCTCCAGAACGATACCAGGGACAGCGTGGTCACGTCAGAAATGTTGCTACAAGCTGCGAGTTGGCAATCCGCACGGGGACAAAACATGGAGACCCAATCCTTTCAATTCTATTCTGGCAGAAGTGATGCGAAAAAGGCAAAGGCGAAGTGGACCTCGCGGAAATATGGCGTTCAGCTTGGGTATATTCCAGATTCGATCGCCATTAATTTGCACTTCGATGATGGCATTATCATCGCTGGCCGTTCTTTACTTCGAATCAAGCAGACGCCGCCCGGGAAGGCGCGCGTGTTGGACTGGAGCTGCACCAAGCAAACGGAAATATCCAGCACAATAACATCGGGTACGGGAGCCTCGCGAGGAAAACGACAGTGGCATGTATGGAGGTCGAAGTCTTGGACACCGTCGAACACGCCGTGTACCTCGGCAAAGCGTTATCGTTGACCGACGCGCACGAGGCGGAGCTAACCCACCCGATACGTAAAGCACTGTCTAAATGTGGTGTATATCGTGGAGAGCTCACCAACAAAGCCGTACCATTGTCTTTGCGACTAAAGCTCCTGAGTGTGGTGTTATGCCCGACTGTATTGTACGGTTGTGCGTCTTGTGTAATGACAGAATCTTGGACGGCGTTGCTAAGATCAATTGAGATGAAAATGGGTCGCCTGATAATGGGGCGGAGCCGGATCACGAAGTCGAAACGTGGACAGATTGGTTATTGCGGGTGACGCCAGAGGCGAAACGCGCGATGCAGGAACATGGCGTGCCACTTTTGGACGTCCAGCAACAGGCCCAGCAACGGCAGCGGGGCCTACGCGTCGAGACGATGAGTAGCGAACGCTGGGTCAAGAGGGCGCACTGCTGGCAGCCGGATGGTTTCCGGAGCAGAGGCCGCCCCGCCACGCGCTGGGCCGACAAGTTCGAATCTCTGAGCACTGAGCCTTAAGGGCACGTTGCCGCGCGCGCCGCGCGCTGCACGTACCCAGCGACCCTCGACCCCCCTCTTTTGGTTTCGTCTCAGTGTCGTCGGGTGGCCCAGCTCCTCCTCAACTTCCTTTTCCTCCTCCTGGGGCGCCCGCTGGGCG